ACACACACACACACACACACACACAACCGCACACACACACACACACACATACACAAACACACACACACGCTTGCGCGAGGGCGAACCCGCTGTATTTTTTTTTTATACTTTTTTTCTTTTTTTTTGATTGATTGATTGATTGATTAATTGATTGATTGATTGATTGATTTGCGGGGAAGGGGTCGCCCTTCCTCCCCCCACATGCATACACACACAAACAAACGAAAAAAAAAAAATTTTCCTTTTTTTTATTAACTTTCTTTTGATCAAATACATGTTTTTTGGTTTTTTTTATTTTTTTTAAATAAGAAAACACTTTATAATACAAAAAAAAATTACCGCGCTGTAGGTCTCTTCAAACCCTTCAACCCCATTTTTTTTTTTTTTTTTTTTGGCCTATTATATATATTTTTTAAAATGTCTGAAATTCTCGGCCGCACCTAACCGCGGGTCCGACCTCAGCGGTTGGGATCCCGATCGCGGGCCGAGATGGACCCCGTGGTCATGACCGCAGGGGATACATAGGCCGAAAGGAGCTCATCTTTCTCGGAAAGCATGATCAAATCGTTTCTCCTACCTGCCCTCTCAACCACTCTTAGTGAACTAGCCAACACAGCCGCACCCGAATCTATAATTGCGTTATAAGGAATTCCCCAAATTTCAATATCGCATTTTGCGGATTTCCACGGGATGGGTTTAATTCGTGAGAAATGATCGTCTTTCTGGATTAACCCCACTCGTATCGGGTCCGAAGTGCCAGCCGGGTTTTCCTCGGGCGTGGGATTTTTAGGCTTTACGTTCGGTATTTGGGCGATGGCGAATCGTTTTCGGTTCACCTTGCAGTGCTGTAACATTCGCTCATTAGCTTGCTCAGAGATCGAGAGCAGATGACCGATCGAAAGCAGAATCCGATGGTCCAAGGCTCGAATGATGTTAAGTACATCGATTTGCCCAGTGACGAAGGTGGGTCCTCCCGACTCCATCTCTCCTGGAGACGATCGCCATTCTGCCACTTTTTTCTGTTCCGGCGCTGGTCTGATCATTCTGATCATTCCAAGCCTGGGATACCCAAGTGATACATACTGATCTAACGGGATGAGCTCAGCGGCTCTTCCGTAGTGACTAAGGCACTTCCCCCACCCTCTACTTCTTCAATTAAGGCTCCAACTCGTCCTGGTCCGTTAGCTATCATGGGGGCCGCGGCCATCGGTGCGATCCCGACACGTTGTTGCTGAGGCCTGTGAGGGCAATCATGGGCTAGATGCCCTGGTTGATGACATGCATAACAGATGTTCAGATTGCTTGCGGCTCCTGCACGAGCGGGTGTCGGGGCTAATCCTTGCTGAATCGGAGGGGCGCACACCGCAATGGGCCGCATATTCCTCATCATGGCTTCCAACCGAGCATTATGCTCTCGCTGCTCCTTTTGCTTTCCTGGATCAAGCTAATTAACGTTTTAGTGAGCTCTAAAATGGGTGCGGACTCAGTCGATCTTACAGGGGTCTCGACCAGTGGTGGGGGTAACGCCCTTACAGGTGTTGGTATCACAGGAACAGGGATGCTCGGGATTTTACTCGGGGTCAGTCGTTTGGGACCTATCTGCTCTAGATAGGTAACGGGGCCTGACACAAACCCCATGTTTTTGAACTTATTCTGTAATGCAGCCAGCTCTGCTCTCGCTCGTGCGAGTTCGGATGAATCTCCTTCTCTAGAATAATCTTCTCCTTCCAAGAAGTTCGCCGCGAACTTTCGTTCCATTTCTTCCGCAGCGGTCATGATTTGTTGCAGCGTGTGAGTGATGGGGGAAAATTGCTTTCACAACTTAGCCCTTATTGTTCGGCTGCGAAGCCCATCAATGAACAGATCTCTCCCTACTTGCTCACCTCGCTCAGTTTTCACAAACATTCGGTAGAACCGGTTTCGATATTCTGCAACAGATTCAAGACGTTTTTGCACTTGGCCCTTGATCATGTAAAGCGCTTGCTCGGGGTGAACATAATCAAATCGATTCATGAAATCCCGTTCGAAGGTCGGGAGATCAACCCATACTTAGGTACTAAGCCAATGATGAGCGTCTCCTCCCATTCGAGCCGGAATGTTGACCTGTGCTTCGTTATTATCGTACTGCTGTGCTCCAAGTGTGGCCAGCCATGCTCCTGCGAGATGATGTGCTGGATCGAATAAATAGAGATCAGGTGGCGTCATGGGAGCCCGTGCTTGTGGGGCGGGTTGATTAGGGTTCGGTTGATTAGCATTCTGTTGCGGATTCGGGTTTTGCACATTAACAGCCATATTGGCTGCTCGTCGACTAGCCGATCTGCTTCGGGTGATGATAGGGTCGCGTCTATGCGCGTTCCGGGGGCGAGGCCGGCCTCGGAGCCAGATCGCCTAATTAACGTGCTATCAGTCCTAAGACCCAGCCACGTGTCGGGCTCCGATACCAACCTCACGCCCAGCGCGACTTCCTGATCGGAGTAGGATGCGGGCCTGGAAGTCCGAAAAGGGGTGTGCCAAGGATTTTTGGGAACGTGGAGTCCCAGGCCAGAACTGAGATCTCCTGTGACAGGGTCTTTCGGGGGCACGAGTGCAATTTGGCAGAGAGGGCGTCTTCGGGTTACAAGGTAGGTGGTATGCGCGGTTGCTCAAGATCGAGCGAGCCATTGGTTTCGGGGACGGTGGTTCATGGGCGGGTCCCGTCGGGGTAGGTGGGGTTCCGATGAGTCCGCCTGTCGGGGATTGCCATGCGGCGCTGGTCGTCGCGCGTTCGGGTTAGGCCTTCGGAACTCCCGGGTTCTCCGATCGCCACATCGTCGGCAGTTCTCGCAGGGTGTGCTGGGCCAGTAGGGGGCTATGGCCGGCCACGGAACGACGCTGAGTTGATGGTACGGAAGAAGAAGGCGAAAGGAAGGAAAACTGGTGGTGATGACGACAAATCCCAGGTGGATGAAGTAGTAGGTATGGTCTGGAGAAGGGAAATCAGAGCACCGGGGATGACTAGAGGTGGCGCAGTGAAATTCCCGAGGACATAGTCGATTCTCAGTGTGGCAGGGGTATCGCTGCCTTAGGATTTCGTTTATCCAAGGGGTGAAGTAATCCGGGTCGTAGGCTTAGTCTGAATTCCAGGATCGCGTCTTCATGTCATCGCGGTATTATGAGTTGCCTACGGGCGGGTCCGCGGTAATCGAGGTCGCCGCGTGCGAGCACGTGCAGGCCGCGCGCATGGCGTCGGACTTACGCGTGCTCGTGCAGGTCGACTGCGCCGTTGCGGATTCCGAGATCATGGCCACTCTCAATCGGACAGGGTATCCGCGATCGATGGTCCTGATGAGTCGACGCCCGGGGATACGTGTAAGTGCGCAACTCGGATCGCGTTTTGCACGTGTCCTCGCGCGGCGTTCACCGAGCCCGGCGTCCGACCGTCTAATCACTCCGTGATGTTCTGAGTATGCAAGATGCAATGATCACCAAGCAGCTCGATCCAAAGACAAGCAAACACACAGACAGAATCATCAATTGCGCAAAATTGCTATTCTACGCACGGGTGCATCGAATGCGACGGACAACGCAAGGACAAAAGATTCCCCACAAAAGGTAAACAAGCAAGCATAGCCTCCATACATCCGCCTCCTCAGTAATCATACACACGATACCTCAAAGGCAAGGACAGAGATAAAAAAAACGATCGAAACATGGCATCCATACGTTCATAGTGCATCGGAGATGGGAATCGCAAGGACAAGTGTGAGCAAAAATTCAAGTCCTGGTTCCGAAAAAGAGAAGAGAGAACAAAAACGGGCGGCTCGCCCGGAGCCGTATTCAAAACTTATATACACGAGACAGGGGGAAGAAAAGGCAAAAGAAACAGCAACTCCGCATCCATCAACCTCAACTCTCTCTTCCTCTCTCTCATCTTCTCTGATGCGGACAGTCCGTCGTCG